ACCTTTGACCTTAAGCACTGCAAGATTGTGAAAGCAACTGCCCAATGTCTTAACTGCCTTTTAGGAATTGACAAATCCCCATGCAAAGGGCAGCCCCCAAACACAAGTTTCGCTTCCCTAAGACTTCTGCTGCTTCCAAGAGCTTTGCACAATAATCATTTACTGCATTGTCAGCTTGACTATGCCTTCAAGCAAATCTCTTTTTTAATGCTTTGTCTGTTTGCCCTCAGGATGACCCCAAACTCCTAAACTTGCCTTTCCAAAAGTCAAGTGATTTTCATTTTCCAACTTTACAATATGTGAGCCAAGTGCGATGGCCCATGTATCTAATTCCAGCACTTTGGGAGGCTGAGGTAAGAGGACTTTCTGAGCCCAAAAGTTCAAGACCAGCCTGGGCCTTGTTTCTACTTGAAGAGACCTTGTTTCTACAATAAATCAAAATAGCTGGGGGTGGTGGCAGGCGCCTGTAGTTCCAGCCACTCAGGAAGCTGAGACACAAGGATCTCCTGTGCTCAGCAGGTCAAGGCTGTGGTGGCCATGAGGTCGAGGCTGCAGTGGCCATGAGCATACCACTGTACTGTAGTCTGGTGACAGAGTGAGAGACCCTGACTCAAAAAAATAAAAAGTACTTGAATTTGCCAGAATCTTGCATTGTTTCATATTCTTAGGCCCACATGTTCTTGGTAACATTCAACTTGCTGTCTGTGTTGCTGACATCGCAACTAAAATAATTCTATTGTTAATGCAGATAAGTCACACCCAAGGGCTGCTGCCAGATGAAGCTGAGGGGCACAGACCCACTACCCACCTCCATGTCTCTCCGACATAGATAGCTGCTGGCTCTCTCCTTGTCCTGATCCAGCCCTAGGTGGGCGTCTCTCCTGAACTGTCTCCTCTCCAAGAAACAAGGTCACACCAATGACTTCTAGGCCTGTCCCGCCTGGCCTAATATCTCCTAAGAGACCATGCAGCCTGTCTCCTCCTCTCTCAACAGACTGAAACCAGAACATAAAACTATGCAAGACTGGATGCAGTGGCTCACGTCTATAATCCCAGCACTTTGGGAGGTCAAAGTGAGAGGATTGCCTGAGCCCACGAGTTTGAGACCAGCCTGGGTAACTTGGCGAGACCTCGTCTCTAGAATAAATAAAAAACTTAGCTGGGCATAGTGGCACGTGCCTGTAGTTCCAGCTACTTGGAAGGCTGAGGCAGAAGGATCACCTGAGAAAGCAAGTCGAGCCTGCGGTGGCCGTGAGCCTGCCACTGTACTCCAGCTTGGGCTACAGAGTGAGACTCCAACTAAAAAAAAAAAAAATAAAGCTATGCAAAGCCGAGTGCTGGTACAGTGCCCACAGAGACCAGACACAAGGTCCCTTGTGCACTGGGCCACCGACTGTCCCACTTCCCTCCTACTTGGGTAACCAGTGTGTCTGGATACCCAATCAATGCACACAGGCCCAGAGAAATGACAAACCACGAAACAGGTCTTCCTGATGTTCCTTCCTTCTGTTACCCTTCAACTCTTCTTAGCTGCTATTGCCGGACCTCTTCAGCAAAACGCCCACAATACATCCAGATTGAGTGTGATTCACAGCACAACATGTGGAAGAGAAATATGGCTCTGAGGGTCTGGAGGGACAAGAGGCATCCTCACCTACAGGTGTAATGATAATCCCAGTGATCCCTGGGGCCTTAGACAGATTTGAGTCCCCTGTCTGGCTCTTACGAGCTATGTGACTTCGATTTATTTCCTGTTTTGGGGGGTTGGGGGAGGGAGCTGGAGTCTCACTCTGTTGTCCAGGCTGGAGTGCAGTGGCATGCTCATAGCCACTGCAGCCTCAGCCTACTAGGGACAGGCGATTCTTCTGCCTCAGTCTTCCAAGTAGCTGGAACTCCAGGTACATGCTACCGTGCCCAGCTAGTTTTTTTGTTGTTGTTTATTGTAGAGACGAGGTCTTGCCAAGTTACCCAGGCTGGTCTCAAACCCCTGGACTCAGGCAGTCCTCTCGCCTCAGCCTCCCAGAGTGCTGGATTACAGGTTTGAGCCATCATGCCGTCGTAACTTCAATTTCTCTGTCTGGAACTTTCAGATAACTTAGTCTACTTAATGTGGCCAGCTTCATGACATATGTAAAATGTAAGGCAGGGCTGTCCAACCTTTTGCCTTCCCTGGGCTGTATTGAGTAAAAAGGAATTGTCTTGGGATGTATATAAATTATGTAATATAGTTAGTATATATACATAATGAGACTTCTTTTTTTTTACATTTGTATGATAAAGTTTATAAGAACAGGAACAATATAAAACTAGTGAGAAATTTGACCCTGTTTTTGTAAAATGAATCTATCGATGACTGGTTCAATGGAGTGGGCGCAATTCTTAGTGAGTTCTCAAGGTGCTTGCCAGAAATGTTTGTTTGAATTTTGCACTTTGTGTGTTTCATCATTGAAAACAGCTGCTCAGCAATGTAGGTGCTGTCCAAAAACAATGTCATGAATAAGGTGTGGTTGTGAACTTCAAAAATGGAACTACACAGGAGGTCCCAAAGAAAATAAACTAAAAAAACCACATGATGTGAAAAGATGTCATGAGACCACATTATTAGCTGTTGTGGGCTGCATGTGGCCCATGGGCTGCGGGGTGAACATGCCTGATGTATGTAAGTGTTACTTGGACCTAAGAGGTGCTTAGTGTTTTTTCCTTTCTCTCCATGATAAATGCCCAATCTCTGAATGTTCTGGGAATCAGATGAGGCAAAAAATTAGCTTCAGCAAAGCCTTTCTTATCTCCCAGCCAAGGCCTCTGGGCAGTGCTAAGGTACAAGGGGGACCGAAAAACCCAGCATTTATTTATTAAAAATTGTGTATTTATTCTCACATGTTTAAACTTCACCCACCTTCAAAATACTCTTCATTTGATGCAATACGCCTGTTGAGATGCTTTTTCCACTTCTCAAAACAGTGTTTGAACTTGTCCATTTGGCTGCTTTTTAGTGTTTCTGCCATTTTTTGTTTCGCCTCTTCCATATTGGCAAAACATTTCCCTTTGAGGAATTTTTCTCATCCAGGGAAATAAACAAAAAAGTCGCTTAGGACAAGACCAGGTGAATAGGGAGGGTGGGGTACGGGGGGGGTTGTGTTGTTTTTGGTCAAAAACTGCTGAACACTCAGTGAGATGTGGGCAGATGTGCTCGTAAATCAACCATCACGAAATGGGCAAACGCGTTGAAAGAGTCTTGAAAAAAACTCACTGAAGCCCAATGCAGCCTCTCACAACAGCACTAGCTGGTCCATGAATGCCCTCGTCTGGTCTAGTCTGGTCAGGAAGCCTGTACTAAAAGGGGCCCGCCCTCCAAAAAATGATTCTCTTTTTTGGGGGGAGCCCCCCATTGTACAGCTGGGGAAGGGGAAGGGGGTGTGGGGAATGGGCTTTCCTTAAGCCACAAACAAGGATGATCCTTCCCAGCAGAGGGGTCTTGGGAGCTCTCTGGACTTAAAACAGGGTGTCTTTCTGGGAGAGGTGAGCCTACTCAAGTGGGCAATTTGCTGGGGCCTAGTTGGAAGGAAACATCCTTTGAGGTTACCTCATCCCTCCTGTTGGCGCAGTTTAACAACCTAAAGGAAATGGGTGTCCCCCCGAGGGAGTTGAGACATCGCAGTGCAAGGCTGTAGCTGGCTTCCTGTCCTATAAGAGCCGGGAGCCTCTGCAAAGTCAAAGACCAGAGGACATGTGGTTGAACCCAGTCACCATGGCCCAGACACCAGCTGTCCTTCTTGTCTTGCTTCTGCACATCAAGGACCTGCCTGCCCAGGCTGCAGACACCTGTCCAGGTGAGACAGACCCAAATTTCCTGGTCCCTGAAAGCTGTAATGACCTATTCATTGACTCCATTGGATGTCCTGGGAAAAGTCTTTCCATGTGTCTTCTTAGGAAGACTCTTAGCAGCTTGACTTTATCCTCAGACAAGGAGATGGGGACTCAGCCCTGTGAGCTGTCCATGGTCAAGGAGGGAGAGGAGAAGGGATTTCATTCTGGGTCTTTCTGCCTCTGAAGTCTGAGATTTGTCCCATGAAGCTTCACAGGTGGGTCTAGACTATGTCACTGAGAAGGAAGAAAAATATATAAATATAGAGGAGGGTCTTGCTCTGCAGCCCAGGCTGGAGTGCAGTGGCACAATTATAGGTCAGCACAGCTTCAACCTCTTGGGTTCATGTGATCCTCCCACCTCAGCCCCCCAAAGTGCTGGGGTGACAGGCATGAGCCACTGCACCTGGCCTGTGGCCCTGATCTATCTATATTACTCCCTCCCTC